TTCCCTGGTTCTCCATACCAAAGCGTTGCTATAACATTTAAACGGCTTATTAGGGCAATGCATAATAGAAAACCATAGGGCTGGAAAGGACCTTGAGCAGTCATCTAATCTAGCCTCTCCCCCAATGCTGTTGGAGGAACAAGTAGACCTAGACCATCCCTGACACGTGTTTGCCAAACCTGTTCTTAAAAACCTCCAATGCCAGCGATTCCACAACCTCCCATGGAAGACTAGATCAGTACTTAACCATCCCTATGGTTAGAAAGTTTTGCCTAATACCTTCTCCCTTGGTGCAGATTAAACTGATTATTTAGTGTCTTACCTTCAGTGGACATGGAGAACAATTGATCTTGGACATCTTTATAACAGTCCTTAACATATTTGAAGTCTGGTATAAGCCCCTCCCCCGTCCTCTTTTCACAAGATTAAATATGCCCAGTTTTTTTAACTTTTCCTCATAGGTCAGATTTTCTAAAACTTTTTATCATTTTTGTTGCTCTCCGCTGGACTCTCTCTAATTTGTTCACATCTTTCCTGAAGTGTGGGGCCTAGACCTAGACACAGTGCTTCAGCTGAGGCCTTACCAGTGCCCAGGAGAGCAGGACTGTTATATCCAGCATCTTATATGACACTCCTGTTAACATCCCCCTTAAATGGTATCAGCCTTTTTTGCAATTGCACCACATTGTTAGCTCCTATTCAATTTGTGGTCCACCATAACTCCCAAACCCTTTTTAGCAGTACAACCACCTACACAGTTGTTCTCACTTTTGTGTTCATATATTTGATTTCTACTTCCTCACACTAGTACTTTGTACTTATCTTTATTAAACTTGATCTTGACAAATTGGAGAATTGGTCCGAAAACAAGATGATTTTGAATTCTAATTCTGTCCTTCAAAGTGCTTGCAACCCCTCCCAGCGTGGGGTTAGCTGCAAATTGTATACGCACGCGCTCGCTCTCATTACCCATACCATTAGTGAAAAATATTGAATAGTACCAGACCCAGGAAACACCCCCTGTGGCGACCTGTAAGATAGGGCTTCACAGTCTGACAGTGACAACATTGATAACTATCTCTTTGCATATGTTTTTTTCAACCAGTTGTGCAGCCACATAATCAGTTTATCAGACCATATTGCCTATGTAGAAAGGCTTCCACGCTCTATGTGTGTAGCACAGTGGGTGTCTAAATAAGCCAATGTGCTCACTACATGCAGTGTGTACAGGGCCGGTGCAAGGGAGTTTCGTGCCCTAGGCGAAACTTCAACCTTGGGCCCCCCCCCCAGCCCTGCAGCAGCTCCCCCCGCCCACCCTGAGGCTCCCCCCTGCGGCAGCTCCCCCCCCGGGAAGCCATGCAGCAGCTCCCCATCCCAGCTCACCTCTGCTCCGCCTCCTCCCTGAGCACGCCACCCCCGCTCTAATTCTCCTTACCTCCCAGGCTTGTGGCACCAAACAGCTGATTGGCGCCGCAAGCCTGGGAGGCAGGAGAAGTGGAGCGGTGACCGCGCGCTCTGGGAGGAACACTGTAAAAAAATTGGGGGCACTGCTTTTTGGCACCCCCAAATCTTGGCACCCTAGGCAACCACATAGTTTGCCTTAATGGTAGCACTAGCCCTGAGTGTGTAGAAGGATAGCAACTGATATACTAGCCTTTATAAGTACCTGCTGATTTAGGGATGCAATACCCTAAAAATCTCTTGCCCTCTTAACTTATCTGTTCCTTTTATCAGATCTACAAAATCCTGTATTATAGGATGGACAGAGGGATTAGCCATTAATGAGGCACTACAAGTCATAAAGGCCCCAATTCAGCAAGATTTTTTAAATTGACTTTTAAACATGTGAAGTCAAACTGGATTACTCCCATGCTTAAAGCAAAGCATGGCCTTAAAGACCTTGCTGACTCCAGGCCTAAATCCAGGGGTGGGAGAGCTGTGGAAATACCCTTTAAGGTTTATAATTCTAGCCATTCCTAAATCTGCATGGTCTCTCCCACCCTTTCAGATGCAGAATTACCTTAGTGGTCCCTGTTCTAAAAATGCTGAGGGGATAGTAGTTTGGTGATCTAAATTTCAGGCTCAGATACACTTCCTAGAGTCAAAAGTTCAAACCCTAACAAGGGCTTCATCCTTCCAGAGGAGATAAATAGAATTCCATGCAGTTAAACCAATGGACTGTTTGTTCTGCATGGCCATTATAGAAACCAAGCACATTTTGTAAAAGCAGGGATCAACCCTAGTATCCTTACTCAGTTTCCTCTCACTCCCCTCCTCCATACTGTTAAGTGCATTAGGGACAAGTTTGTTACTAGTCACTACCCCAGAACTGGCTGGATTTCCCTGCTACGGTAAGAACATAAGAAGGGCCATACTGTGTCACACCAATGGTCCATCTAGCCAAGTATCCTGTCTTCCAACAGCGGCCAATGCCAGATGCTTCAGAGGGAGTGAACAGAGCAGGGCAATTTATCAAATGATCATCCAGTCCCAGCTTCTAGTAGTCAGAGATTTAAGGACAGCTGGAGCATAGGGTTGTGCCCCTCACCAGCTTGGCTAATAGCTATTTAGATGGACCAAATCTCCATGAACTTATCCCAGTTATACTTTTGGCCTTCACAACATCCCCTGGCAATGAGTTCCACGGGTTGACTGTAAGTTGTGTGAAGCGGTACTTCTTTATGTTTGTTATAAACCTGCTGCCTATTAATTTCATTGGGTGACCCCAGCTTGTGTATTATGTGACGGGGTAAACAACACTTCCCTATTCACTTTCTCCACACCATTCAGGATTTTTATAAACCTCTATCATATCCACCTTTAGTCATCTCTTTTCCAAGCCAAACAATCCCAGTCTTTTTAATCTCTCCTCAGATGGAAGCTACTCTATACCCCATATCATTTTTATTGCCCTTCTCTGTACTTTTTCCAATTTTAATGTATCTTTTTTTAGATGGGGCAACTAGAACTGCACACAGTAGTCAAAGTATAGGCATACCATGGATTTATATAGTGGCATTAAGATCTTTTCTTATTAATTATCCCTTTCTTAATGGTTCCTAATATTCTGTTATCTTTTTTGACTGCTGCTGCAATATCCCCAGCAGTCAAAAAGACCTCTCTCCTGAATGGTAAGAGCTAATTTAGACCACACCATTTTGGATGTATAGTTGGGATTATGTTTTCCAATGGGCATTACGTTACATTTATCAACATTGAAGTTAGTCTGCCATTTTCTTGCCCCTTGAGCTAGTTTTGTGAGATCCTTTTTCTAACTTCGCAGTCTGCTTTGGACTTAACTATCATGAGTAATTTTGTATTATCTATAAACTTTTACCACCTCCCTATTTACCCCCTTTTCCAGATCATGTCTGAATATGTTGAACAGCACTGGTCCCAGTATGTATGTATTTGTGTTCTAGTGTTACTTGCAAATTAAAGTCTAACCCTGCAAATTGTTCCACACAGGTGTATCTCTGCAACCATATGAAGCCTCACACAGCACAAGGATCTGTCTGGTTATATAGAACAACTTATAAGATCAGAGCCAACACTGCCTTTTTTTGTTTTCCCCCAAAGTGACCTCACTTTGTATGGGGAGGGACTTCAGAACACACAAACTGATCAAACACACCCACACCCACACAAAAAAGAAGGAAAACCATTTATAAATGTCACTGTCCAATGTCTTTTCAATGTAACTGTAATAAGATTATCTACACATATCTATAAATATCTACAAGTATCTACACTGTTTGCAGATATGACTCTTTGGTTGTCTTGACTTTTTCCTACACTGCAACTATTATGAAAACAAAACCAAAAACGTTTGTATAATCTCTGAAAGAAAAAAATAAATATAACAACTTCATTAAACAAAAGCTTTGGCACTAATCAATGTCCAGGTAACAAATCATAGTGAAAACTCTGAAATAACAGCGACAAAGCAACAGGGCATGTCAGAGAGCAGTTTCCACCTGTCTAATAATATGCACAAGTCTATTTCACATCAGCCTTTTTGAGAACAGTTATTATTGTGTAGTCGGACACTAAAAATTTCACAATTCACTGCAAATGTCAAATAAAAACACATGGTTCTTGCACAAATCTTCACAATGGATCCAAATTTTTGTAATGGAAAAAGTTACAGAAAATATTCACATCTGCCTGTATCTCTTCTGGATAGAGCCTATTGCTGAAGACTGGATAGACATTACTACGTGATCTTAACATTTGCCACCTTCACAAGGTAAGGAATCCCCTTTCAAAAAGATACCAAGAGAACACTGTGGAATTTGCAATGCAGAGGCACAAATATGGATGAATTAGAGGACATAAAATATAACCTCTCTCTTTCCACAGAATTCTGTGGAGGAGAGGGAGGAGGACGGAGGCACTTTTAAACCCGCATGGTCAATTAGCCGTTAAATCCTTCTCTGAAAAACAGGACTGGCCTGACAATTGGTGGAACACCAAGCAAAAACGTAGTCTGGATATTCATAATGTGTAGCTCGAGACATATGTCAGAAGCTAAATTTTGGGATGTGGACCATCTCCACAAGAAAAGCAACCTGAGGGGAGACATAAAATGTACTTTCCAGATGTAAGAAGGGGCATACAGCAAGCAGCCAGTTGCAGCTCTGCCAGATATAAAGGGCCAGCCCCTGAAAAGCATGCTGGGGGGGGGGCGGGGAAATCCTCTAAAAGGCCAGGCTGCAGTAGAGAGTATTTAGAGACCAGGAAATCACCAGGCAAGGTAGTGCTGCTTTGGTGGTGTTCTCATCACCAGCAATCATGAACCCTCTGAGAAATATGAAAATATGGCCCAAACTTTGTCTTTTTTTCTGTATGCTTGTAATGACCTTAATACCGATTGTTGGGAAAAATAAAAGTCTGTAGCACTGTTCTTGGCCTTGGGCTACATTAGAGAAGCACCGGGCCCCAAACAGTTGCTTGTGTATAAAGTTGCCCCCTACAACCTCATCAGTCATGAAGAGATGGGCCCTGGCTGGAGGTCATCTGGCAACATCAAAACATTTCCTAATTTAAGCCCTACTTCCACCGCTAGTCCCCTGGAAAATACAGTGGGGAGGGGGAGAAGGTTTAAAGCCAAGGGAGCCCCCAGTCCTCCCACGTCAGTGAGTCACAACAATGCCACTCAGGTGGATCTCACGAGGAGTAGGATCAGGCCAAGGGACTGCAGGTGCCCAGGGCCAGCTGCTGAGCACAGGACATCGTCTCATTCGGTGTTAACGTGATTCCCCCGCCCCCAGGCCAAGTTTCCTTCCAGAGCCCACATGGGCTGGCGCGGGAGGGCCAGGCCTGGGCGTTGGGAAACCGAGAGTCTACGGCTGGCTCTGCCGCAGGCGAGTCACTGCCCCTTCCCAGGGGCTAGTCACCCCGCCGGCCTCCTTCCCGGGGCCTGGGGAGGACCGCGGCCGGGCGCGCGAAACATCATCAGTGCGGTGGGTGGTGCCCGTTGCTCACACGGGAGCGAGAAGCGCCGCCTCTGGCTTTGTCGCTGGAGCAAAGCGAAGTGCCGCGGCCAGTCGCCGGATGCCCCGGGCCCGGCCCGGCCCCTACCTGCCTCGCTCCGGCCTCCGGCCCGCCCGCTCTCTCCGGCGGGCCAGGGGGCGGGTGGGCAGAACCGAGCAGCGGCCCCGCCGGGCCGGGCCGGGGGAGGCGCTCGGGGCGGCGGGAAGCGGGAGTTCTCCTCTCGGCAGCCGGGGGGCGCACACCATGCAGGGCAGGGCAGGGCAGGGGGCGGGCGGGTTACCGCGGCCCGTAGTCGTAGCTGGGCGGCGCGCCCGCCGAGGAGTACACGTTGGCCGGCGGCGGGCCCATGTGGTGGTGGTGGTGGTGGTGGTAGCCGTGGCCCCGGATGCTGGGTAAGGGGTAGGGGGCGGGCCGGCTCTTCGCCCCCAGGTAGTGGTCGTAGGCCGCCGCCGGGTACTTGTAGGGGTGGTGGTGCAGGGGCTCCGAGGCGGGGGGCTCCAGCCGCAGTTCGTGGTGCGGGGGGCTGGGCCGGCTCCCGGGCGTGCTGCTGAGCTGGACGAGGCCCCCCGCGCCGGGGACGGGCAGGGCCGGGCTCAGCACCCGCGACATGAGCTGCTGGTGCGCGGGGTCGGCGTGGAGAGGGGTCCCGCCGGCCGCTTCCCGCTCGTACTCCCGTCGGCTCTCCGCAGCGTCTGCAACACAGCCCGGGACACGGAACGGGCAGGGCAGCCGGTTAGAACCTGGCCAGGGCCCCCAGCGCCCCCCCCCCGGCCACTGACACCCCAGCACCGAGACAGCCCCCCTCCCAGCTACTGACACCCCAGCACCGAGCCAGCCCCCCAGCCCCCGACACCCCAGCACCGAGCCAGCCCCCCCAGCCACTGACACCCCAGCACCGAGCCAGCCCCCCTCCCAGCCCCGCCCCAGCGCTCTCCCAGACCACTGACACCCCAGCACCGAGCCAGCCCCCACCCAGCCACTGACACCCCAGCACCGAGCCAGCCCCCCCCACAGCCACTGACACCCCAGCACCGAGCTAGGCCCCCCCTCCCAGCTACTGACACCCCAGCACCGAGCCAGCCCCCCCCACAGCCACTGACACCCCAGCACCGAGCTAGGCCCCGCCCCAGCGCCCTCCCA